CCAGCGGTAAAACTGTAAAACATCCGAATAATGTTATTATCCGGAAATGAACGCCTGGCGCGCGTGGGAGGACGACGATGATGACATGGATCAAGCTTGGGAGATTCTTGGCTTTCATCAGTCTTCTGCGCGCCCTAAAGGCTCTATTGCCAACCGCCAGCCAGACCTACCACGAGATAGCGAGGCTGCGTATGCTCGGATTTACCTACTACTTTGACCCCAATCCAATCTACGGCGAAGCCAAGTTTCGCCATCAATTTCGAATGGCCAGACCGCTGTTTGAACGAATCATGGACGGTGTGGTGATGCGTGATGAGTACTACCCTTGGACGCATCTTGAGAGATATTGATCCATGACCGGACAAGCTGGCAGTCTTCGTCGGTAGTGAAGTTGGAGCCACAGACGACGGACGGCCTTGGCTGATTCCATATCTGAACCAACTGATTATTGACTCCATAACGCACATGATTGGACAAAATTATCCATTGATAGCATGTTATTGGCTAATTCGTCAAAACTGTATTTTACAGTCGCGACTGTAAATCTGTCCGATTTGGCGTCTCGCGGTAAAATTTTACAGTTTCCTGTATTTTACAGTCGCCCGGTGGGGTTGTCAATACTGTAAATAATCCGGATAGAACTGTATAATAGCGTTTACAGTCGCACCGGTGGGGATGCTCTAAGAACCCCTAAATACAAATATCAAGATATTTGAATTTGACGTGATATAAATCGAATTTGCACAACGCACGTCAAGCTGTAAGCTACGCATTTCTATTGGCTATAATGTGCAAAGCCACCAAGGTGATCAACAGGCACGAGAATTTGGAGTTAGAAATGACATGCGACTGATGGAACTTGTTTCAGTGACGTGATGTGGTGAAGGTACAGTATATACTTCAGTATACCGGTATGTATGTCGTTGAAACGGCAGGTCGGTATGCATTTACTGTTAGTGGTGTGCTCTGTAAATACCCTGGGTTTACAGTCCTGTTAGTTTGGCAGAGAATACATATACTCCAACATCCACAGCACAGTTTTACGCTATTAATCTATCAATTGACATTGTGAAACCAACCTTCTGCGTAGAAACCACGTCATGGTACGAATTGAGATTTATATGGACGCACTGCCCAGTCCCTAATTACAGTATGGCGAAGTCGCAAGCTTTTTGGTGTGTTCGTGGTCACAGCGGTTGTATATCGAGCTCGATGTGTTGTGATAAGTTAACTTCATTTTCAACAAGTATTGCAGGAAAACGCATTGCCTGCAATATAGTGTAGGGCGGCAGATTGACATCCCAAACATGTCAGTTTTGACACACTTTGCATTTCTACTTGTTCTTTATCCTCCGTTCCTTCCTCAGTTGGTTGTTGTGGACGATAACTCGATTTCGAGGCTGACTCTACAACTGAATGCTCTCAACACTCGCGACATACTTACATAAAAGGTGGATGTTGACAACTCGTTCGACAACAGTCTCGTGGACATTTACCGTGTAGCTCGCAATGTACGATAACGTTAATAATTACCGATATGTGACCACACAAGAGTGAGCAAACTGTTCCGGTAGGAGTTTGAGCAACATTAAGTTTTTTACGTGAAAGCAAGCGGCCTTGTCCGAAATACAGAAACGCAGTCCGGTGCCGTGATGATTCATAGAATGGAGGCTCCATGTAAGCGCAGAAGAGATATGCGGTATGGACTTCACAGTCAATACATGACTTCTAGATATACTGTATACACTTAGGTGAACTAGCCGCGATATGCACCTTGACTTGGCACTCGAAAGCAGCATGGCGCGAGCCATGCCTCTCGACGCTCAAATGAAATCCATTGGCCAATCATATCCAAGGAATCTAATATTTTGACCAATTCGTGCAAATTCCAATTCCAATACAATACAGTTAGTTATATTGGGACGTCCGATCGAAATGGGGACAAGAACACCCGGATACATCCCCAAATTATCCGTAACTTCGATGGGACCACTATTGTAACAGGTTTTGGGAATAGGGACATCGATACAGGGACCCCCGTTGGAGATGCTCGAAGAAGTAACTTATATTAGAAGTACTTGTCCTTACTGTTAGCGCTACCGGTAATCAATTCCATTGGAATTTGTGTTAGCCTGCCTATACTTCGAAGTAGATATTGTGGATTCGGTACAAATATCCAGACCCATTCGAATCGAATCGACACTAACGTTATTCCCACAATACACATTTCTTGGTCGGGTTCATGGGTGAATCCACAGGGCAATTAAACACGTTGGCAAAATCGACCGAGTTTTGAACCGCCCCGATCAAGCGGTAGCGACCAGGGGGGTGTTCATCGGTGAGCAGAATCTGGAGGTACTCGTCAGTGTTCTTTTCGCACCTCAATTGGGCGTGCGCGATCCAAAACATCTTTTCGCTTGTTTCCTTGGTGTACTTGGTGGCATCAGCTACAGTATCCACGTAGTCTCGGTACGCCCGGTACGCAGCGTTAAGGCCCCCATTGTCGGCGATGGTTTCGCCCAACGTCAATTTGCCGTCCAACTTGCCAAGCAATGCACCCGAGAGCTCGCTCTTGACGTCCATGGACCCATACTGCTCGATGAAGCACTTGGTCTTTTCGTCAAACGTTTCCTTCACGGTATCCGTCCACCAAGGCCTGAAGTTGCCGTCGCCGTCGTAGTTGCTGCCAAGGTTGTCGAAGCCATGGGTGATTTCGTGGCCGACATTAGAGCCCATGCCGCCATAGCTCACGGACGGGTCTGCGTTGGCATCGTAGTTCGGGGGCTGCAAGGTGGCGGCGGAAAACACAATCGTGTTCACCGACGCGTCGTAGTACTGATTCACGGTTTGCGCAGTAATGATCCAATTCTGCTTGTCCTTGGCAGTGTCGATCTGAGCTAGCTCGAACGCAGTATCAAACGCAGACACCTTGTTCAGGTTGGCAATGTACGCCTTGGGGTCAAACGTCAAGGTGGGGTACGTCTTGGGGTTTTTGGGCCCCCCCAAGAAGTGGGAGAACTTGGACAACTTGGTCTTGGCGTTGTCGCGAGTGGTGTCATCAAGCCACCCCGCGCTGTTCAGTCCACTCTCGAAGGCAGCTTCCAGTGCCACCACGAACGAGTCGACGCGTTCGGTCGTGTTGGCCGTCCACACTTCCTTGAGGTAGTACGTGCCCAGCAGTTCGCCTATGGACCAGTCCACCTGTCTGCGGCAGATAGTGGCCCGCGGCGGGGATTCTTTGAGGCCTTGAATCACCATGCCATGGAAGTTCGAGTGTGCTTTCACAAACGGTGTTGACAGGAACGGCGCGTTGAAGGCGAGCACCTTGTACTCGATGATCGTCTTGAGGTCGTCGACGGACAAGCTGTGGAGAAATCCTTCTACGAAGTCCAAGTAACTGATGCCGTCCAGCAGGACCTTGGTCGTGTTGCACCCTTCGCGGACGTCGAACCCAAACCCTTGCAAATGGAGACCTAGCCCCAATGGGAAGAACTCTTTGGCCTTGCTGAGCGGCACCACGCCGGAGGTCACAGCCTCTTGGAGCAGCCTAGGCATGGACTGCTTGGCACTGAGGCGTTCAAACGAAATCACGACGTCGGTGGCCGCCCCCGCCTCCGCGTCCGTGCGTCCGGCCAGCGTGAAGATTGTGGCAATGTATTCGCGGTACGGCTGCTCAACCTTAGCCCACAACGTCGGGTCTTCGTAGTAGTTTTTGTGAATCGGCAATTTCGTTCCTTTGGCAACCAAGACGTTGCGGGTGGCGTCGACGAAGTTGGCCACGACGTTCAACTTCACGAACAGCGGTACGCCGGTGGCCTTGGAGATGGTCGCGCCGCGAAAGATGGCCTCGACGGTCGAGTTGGCGCTGCGGATGGCCTTGAGGTGATCTTCGATGGGAGCCAAACCCAAGGTGTCTAACGTGGCAGTGTCCACACACGCGTTGTAGAACTCGGTGAGTTTGGGCAGCTTGGCGTCCATCAACTTTTCGATTACCTTGTCCGCCGCAGCTGTGACCACGGCGCGCGTGGCATCGGTTGTACTTTCGTTAGCGTGTAGGGTGTTCTCATTGTACCACGTCCCGCACGAATATGAAAAGAAGTCGGTGCATGGATCCACGGTTTGATCCATGAGGCTGGTCATCTCTGTCGGAAACTCGGAGATGGTACCGAAAGCAGACGCGACACTGACGGACAAGGCAGCCACAGCGGACATGATGATTTTGACCATGGCTGGTATATTGAAGAATGACCAAGCCACCAAGCAAGCTCACTATCCATCGCAATGTGAGATACCAATGAGACATCTCGTGGATAGAATTCATGCACGGATGACCCCTTTCTATATTTTGGCCTGCTGCTCCATGAATTTTAGTACAATTCCCCGATTAACAATATGTAAACCAGCTCCAGTTATCTTTTCCCAGAAATTGGTGTTTATATGCTACGTACTCAGAGCATCTCCACCGCATCCCAACTTATACGGTATGTACCCACCGGGTTAGGACGGAGTCCCAGGTTAACGTTACAGTAATGGCATGATTCCCTCTCATTGAAATAGTATATCAGGTTTAAAAGACTGTGGAAGTGGGTTAGAGTTAATCAGAGAATTCTTTTGAATTTTATGCATGTTTGTGTAGGTACAGTAGCTCCAGTTGTTGAATTAGGCTGTCAGGCTGTCGAATGGAGGCAGCACATTCAACGCCAGCTGTCTTGCCCAACCAGTTACCATACCATAACGACTCGGATGTGAAAACCATTCGGACAGAGCTCGGACACAGAAATATTTGAGGAATTATTACTATTCTTTGCATACAAATTCCAAGCTTTCTTCATGTAATTAAAATAACGATGATAGGATAGGTACAGCGTAACTACACCACTTCCCGTTCAAGTTGAAATGAATTTCCAGTCAATGTGAAATGAACACGTTCGAAACACGACGATTTTCAAATCAACATGAATTTTCTAACATTCAACCTGAAACATACTTTGTTTCATATATATTCTGGTGTATGATTTGGATAAAGGAGGAAGATGGGTGAGGGAGGGTAGACATGATGATTGAATCACTATTGTATACTGAAGGGTAGTATAATTCATCACCTTATGGTCACTATACTATAGTTGAAGTAAGTTTAACGTTTCATTTTGATGTGAACATTTTTCATGTTGAGATGTGAAACTGCACTTGTGAAATCTTATAATATTTCTGCATTTCACATTGACTGGAAATTCATTTCAACTTGAACGGGAAGTGGTGTAGAGACTGCACATCAACGACAACCGCAAGTCCTTACTACTGTATGTGATTTGATAAGTGGGAACTTCTGAGACATGAGGGCAAGTAGGAAATCAGAATAACCTCCATAATTGAATGCCATGTCAAAGCCTAGAAGTTCCAAATTAAAGAGGGGTATACAAGTTCAGGATGAATTGCTGGGATACTTGGCAGACTTGGGAAATGTATGGCATTTAGTTTAGAAGTTGATGCCATCTTGCAGTTCAAACGAATTCGAATTACACCATACTCAGCATCAATCATAAAATGAAATTCTCTACAAGTCAAAATGATTGATGGTGTCAATCAAAATTGAAGTCATAAAATATCAAAGGGAGTTTTCACATCATTCTGAAAGTCCATTTTCAAATTTTCTATGGCCCCAACATCCGGATATCCCCAACCGGATAACGGTTGCAACTCTTCGTGTGTCTGTGAATTGGCATTACTGTACGCACCCCGGCCTTGGTATTCCGATGAGTCCCTGAACTCACGACATTCACACGAAGGGTTGCACCAAGTCACACCATTTAACATCAAGGTTAACGAATCATACTTTTTGGGTGTACTCAATACCAGTTTTAACTAACATTGTGTAAATCTTCTAGTGCAACATCCACGTCCAAGGCAGGATCAAGCTCCGCCAGTTCCATGGCGCCAAGGTGGCGAATTGCGTCGAGCACGGATGCTGCCCCAACTGCATCAAGATCGACATCGGCATCGCCAGTTCTTTCGTGTTCAATTGGGGTATCCACAATGTTGCACTTACGAAAACCATTGATGATTGTCTTCTTGGATAGGGAATCCCAGGCCGTGTTGACCCACTCGACGATGTCGAACCGGTCAGGAGGAGTGAGCTTGAATGGGCCACCGTCGTGGTTGTTGACTTCGGTACGTGAATGCTCGATCCATCGATGACGGAGTGCCGCCTTTATTGACCGCATCCAAGCAACATCGGCTGGTTGACATATCCATGTCAACGTAGGTGGGATCGTATCCAAAAGCACGTTGAGCTCACTAGCCAACGCAAGGACATCCGGTGTTGAATGCGCGCTGAACGCATCCCAAAGCAAGAGTACTGGCTTGCATGCAGTTCCCCGTCGGTAGCCGAAATGGTACGTCAAAAACTCGATGGAAATAAGACTATTCCACCATGCCGTAGGATTGCCGTAGATCCTGGATGGATGCCGTTCGTGGAGCTCTTCGATGTCTTCCCACACATGGCAGCCAAAGCCGTTCCGGTGCTTCAGGTTGTCTTGGACGACTCCCTTTATTCGCGAGACGCCAGTCTTGAGAACCAGAAACAATGGGTATTTCACACCGTTTGAATCGGCTAACAGCATGGCGGATAGGCGGTCCTTGTCATGTCCGGAGCCCTTGATCCACACTGTCTTTGCGCCGAGGCTGTCAATGGTCTTCTTTGGTATGTACTCGTAGTTGATCCCAGTTTGATCGGCATTGTAGATGGACTCGATTCCGTGTTCAAGAACCAGTGCACGAACTTGAGAGCCAAATGCTTCGAGCGCAACTTGTCCTTGCGCCAAGTCCGCCTGACCAGAGCGACTCTTGGAACGCATGGAAAAGCGCCACCGCTTCATGAAGCCATTGATCCATGAAGGACTCGCCTTGAACTGGATCGCTGTCAACCCAACGTCGCGGGCAACTTCGAGTGCTCTTAGCTGGAGAAGCAGATTGGTCACCGGGATCCCTTCGCTGCGCAGCTCGTTGATCCATGCCGCCAAGCCTTCTTCTGCGGCCACATCAAGAGTCGAAGAAGTACCAGCAGGCCGCAAGGACTTCTTGTGTTGCTGGGATGGTTCGGCTGTCGCTGCCTCGAGAACGGCACGATTCTGCTCCCAGCGGTGAATGCGCTTCCACGCTGTCTTGCGTGGCGTTCCAGTGAGTCCCGGGAAGTACGTGTCCAATGCAGAGTTGTAGGAGTCATCTCGAGCTGCGTTGATGACGCACAGCCTGTTGAGGACCGAATATGTTTTGGTTCTGTACGATGGCTTATTGCGAATGGTGTTCTTGACCGAAGGGCGTCCTGTGGCCTTGCGATGGGCAGTCCGCGCCATTTCGTGCAATGAGTGGGAACTTCCCGCGTGTTGCGTTCTTCCAAACTCGATATATATTACATCTTATAGGTATTTCAACCCAGACAGGTTCTTGCATAAACATATACAGCAAAATTATAATTTTGTGGGGGGTTCAAAAGTTCCCACTTAACAAATCATATACAGTAGTACTAACGCAGTAACCAAGTGGTCATGCTCAAATAGGCAAAGCGTTAATGATTACTACGTAGTACAAGCACTACTTCATCCTTCACGCTCGCAAGGGCTGCCGGTAAAAACTACACTGTACTGCAGGTTTATCAAATAACATATGACAATTATAAAAAGAGATATTATATTCCAAAACATTACTTGTATATAAACTATATTGAGACAAGAACATTTTATTCTATTTTGACTGAAGTATTCCGAATGTCGCAAGTCAACTTCTGCTACGAAATTCGATTACATTCTTCACGTGCTTTCGTTGGGCGATTTAGATTTGGCTCTATTGGCCTGTGGGCCGAGAACTGGATAATCGAATTAGTGTGTGCGGTCGAATAAAATCGAAGTGCGTCGAACAATGCAAATTGACAGTGAAGAATGAGAATTGAATCCATCGCAACACGGGTTAGGCTTAACACAGCAGCCAACCGACTACTCGTACGGTAAATTTATGCGTATGAAAGTGTCGTTATGCAGTCATTTCTCAATTTCACTCGTTGCCGACACTTCGACAGCATATTTTGGCCAAAAAGCCTGTCGAAAAAGTCAAGTAGTGAGAGTGGTTAGGGTGACTTTTCAAAAGCACACTGATCGGTACTAGTACCACCCATCCATATCAGTAACACTATCGAACGGAAGGTGATCTGTAAATTTAATATCGAATAAAGTATGAAGCATCAATCCATGCAGAAGTCCTACTTTCGAAGTGGGTGATAATCAGATATTTTAATATGGGCTGAAGTAAGGCATCTTCAAGCCACCCTAACTCTTTTCCTTCTGTTTTTTCTGACCAATGGATAGTCGCGTTGGATTCGTCGTGGTTTGATTGGTCTATCGATATCGAATCCATCCAGTTTGGACAATTTATGAAAAAACTATGCACCATTATATAGAGACTTCCTTATATTTCTTTCCCGAGTAGTACTAGTACAAAGGAAAATCACAGGGCTACGTCAAATTGCTAGCTCAACTGCTGGCATGTTTCAGGACTCTAGAATGCTTGTCTTGCCTTACTAGCAGAAATGGATTTGGTCATCGTTGATCCGAGCAACAACGACGGGCTAATCCTCTAGTATACTGTATCAGCAACTCTCGTTTTCACTGTGTTAGTTGTGAATAAGGTACCTGCAATGCAAGGCTACA